ATATATATATATATTTATACTATACTTATTTCAATATATTTATTTTCCACGTGTTACTAAGGGCAGCACGATATGCAATTACAATCTATGTATATAGGCGCTGTTTCCTTGTATTTGTATTGTCATTTGTGATGCGCGTGTATCACAATATATATATATTTATACTATACTTATTTCAATATATTTATTTTCCACGTGTTACTAAGGGCAGCACGATATGCAATTACAATCTATTCTACTCCTTACAACCTTGAATTTTACCTAGTGACTTGAGCTGCGTGCAGGGCAACGTAGTCGCACTATAATGAAATACCAGACGTCCAGCCAACTGTGCGAATTCGTTAGATCTAGAATAAACTCAAGCTGAACGAAAATCTCGTACATTACAGTTCATCTCGCTTCTCCCGTAAGCGTAGCTAGCAGAATGCATACAGAACAGAGTCCGGAAGACGGCAAGTGGAAATAAGAATAAGACGACGAACAATATATCTCTCACTGTAGCGAGAATCGTATTCTGGCTGCTATGACAACTGCGTTGCTGGAGACGCATGGCTACGTCAGGTAACTATAGCTATGCGAACAATGCCTAGTATTCGAGCATACTTGGCAACGGGCCACCCGCTGTGTCGTGGACGACTGTTTTCCCTCGGTGAACATGTTTTTCAAGGAGGTCCGTTGTGCGCGATATCTACCACGGTATTGGAGACATCTATATTCTTCTATGACCGTGCAATTTGGCGCGTTTTATTTCTCATTTATTTATTTCTCATGCATTTGTATCTCGTTTAACTTATAATTATAATAAAATAATCGCATATAAAGCATTACAGATCTGATATAACCAGGCGAACATAAATAAGTGAGCTCTCATTTATTTCATTCTGAAATAATTCGGTTCGATGAATAGAGAAGATGCATGCGATGGCTCAATGGTTGAGTGCTCGCCTAGCTCGTATGTGGAAGGTCGGGGCCGGGTTCAACTCCCGGCCGGGTCATACCAAAGACTTGAAAAATGGTACACACGGCTTCTCTGCTTAGCATTCAGCAAATAGAGATAGAGTGTGGCAAGTTAACTCGCAGTGCTACAGTGGACTAACCCCCTACTGTAGCATTTACTGTGAAAGCAGCTGTGGGGCCTCAGGGTTACAGAAACGGAGATAGGCACCGCCCTATGCGCCTGTAGCTATACGCTATGCGTATGAAGATGCGGGAAGGATTTAACTAATAGAGAAGATGCCACTGAGCTCAGTAGGGGTAGATTGAGACATATATATAGCTAAATTTGAATTTGTTCCGCACCGACAGAACATGATAGCCGTGGCGTGTGGAAAAATCTAAATACGCAGAGAATAATTGTAAAAATAGTATTTAAATAGTTCAATGTAAATTTGATTTAATCAAATGGAGTAAATAAATTAAATTTTAAAGAAAACGTTCGCAGCGTGGTCTCATGAGATGTGGGTAGGCCCTACTATCCTCGAACTCTCGAGCGCGATAGTGGGCAGGATAAAACCCCAGTAATGTCTCGATACTGAAAAAACTCAACCAAACGCCACCAGGCTGCAACCGCCTGCATCTCTTTGTCTATGCTCACCTCCACCGCAGGGAACGCATGCGTGTAACCGATAGCATAAAAAACTCGAGCGATTTATGCGGTCTTGATGCCACGCTCTTTTTTCGGTAAGTGGACGAGTCGAAGCAGGTTTTCCTTCCCTCCAGACGTGTGCGTGATTTACTAGCGAGATTTTATCGCGTACAACACCACCTTGGATCCTCTTGGCAGAGCGCCCCTCGGTCATTTGCCGTGCCGAATAGACAACGTAGCTAGACCTGTAGAGACCACGTCTCACAACACCTACGTGTCATTACGAAATACGATCTCAGCAAACCAGTGGATGCACTGTTCGCTCCGGATTCCTGCTCACTCTCTCGAATATGAAAGCCAGAGGACTATAAAAATATATATCTTCAACACCCCCCTTCTGCACTAGATACATATAGATACTAAAGAAAGGAAAGGCTCCGAGGACCCACGTTCTAAATTCTATCCAAGTACCCGTAACCCGCGTGACCTCAAGCAGCGTGTAGAAATACCAGGTTACATTCAAAAATATAAGAATGATTCCGGGTTAACACAAGTTCACGAAAGCGTGCACGTCTAATTTGAACAATCAATAAATTAACTAATAATTGCATGCGACATACATGAGTTGTTTCGTCCACAAATAGTTGTATTCAAGAGATCGTTTGCAAAATATTACAATCTTCCGATTATCTTCGTAACTACAAACGGCACAAACATAAACACTATTAAATCATAATACATTTGATAACGTTCTGTCAACAATTAAAATGTCCGTATAGTGCATTTTGGTCTTCGCGCGTCAAGAACCATACTCTCGTCTACATAGGCCTACTCTATAGTTTCTATTTAACATGCATTGCAACATTGGCACTACACCCTATATTATATCGATACTGAAACTATTTATTACCTATCGTAGTTTGCTGCTGTTATCGCTATCGTGTATCTAATATGGCTTATTTATCCACGCACCTCGTTGGCATAACCACCAAAAATTATGTAATTACCAATTGACAAATCTAATTAAAATTTTGTATATGCTATTAATTTTGTAGTAGTTCGTGTGCCGCCAGATGGCACTGCGAGTGGCGGCTTTAATCCAGACAGTCGAAGTCAATTCTCACCTCGTCCCGGGCTGAAATCAATTTATAAATAACGTTGCAGTCGATGGTGGAAAACGCCTATGTAACTGACAATGGCACTGCTCTTTTACTCACCCTGAAAACCTGTTATCACCACAAGTTTATTTTCAGAAGTTTACTTTTCTCTCTCGCTCTCTCTGTCTCTGTCTCTCCCGCTCTCTCTCTCTCTCTCTCTCTCTCTCTCTCT